GAATATTATCGTAACACAAAACTACATGAACAAGAGAGCTAACATTGGCTGAAGCATTGTATTGACAAATAGAAAGGTTGAAATGAATTTATAGAGTTTTAACATTTTTAAAGTTTCATTGAGCCTCAATGAAATGAAAATAATAGAAAATCCAACAACTTTGCTTTTTTATATCCTTAAAGAATCTACCCAATATGGAGGGGAAGGGGACAAATGAAACAGTCAAACATTAACTGGCTCTTCTAAATGGTCAAATATATTGGTTTTGACAACCTGGTAACTAAGGAAAAGTTACCTACTCAAATTTATAACCCTTATTCCTAATTGCTTCAAAGGAAGAAAGTGGCATTAAATTAAAATTTATAAAAGAATACAGCTAAGGCACACAAAACATTATAAAAATATTGTAACTTTTCAAAGAAATTAAACCAAAAAATATAGGAAATACAATATGAAATCAACTAAAATATAAAATTTCAGAGTACATTAGTTGTTACCAATTGGCCAGTTAAAAGCACTTTTAGATTTGTGCTTGAGAACCATCAATGTATATGGTAGAAGCACCCATTTCTGATATTATGTTTCAAAATTTAGTCTTAAGCCATTAAGGCAGCAACAGATAACCATTAACATTTGTAATCAAATGTTCATCTCAGGTATACTAAAATGTTGAAAGAAGCTGAAAATAAACAGTCAAATGATAACAATCTCAATTCTTATTGTAACTACTGTACCATGAGCAGACATTTTTCAAGATAAAATTAGGCTTAAAAATGAATTAGAAAGATAAGAAAAAACAGTGGAATTAACAGAATGTGTGCAATTCTTTGTAATCAACAAACACTTATTTGCTACTAATTATGGATATCATTCATTAATGTTTTCATTAGAATGATAGCTTTGAATCTTTCTTATGGACAGAATATAAGTCAGAGATTCACAGTGAAAAAATTTATCAAGCTCCTTATATAATAACTCACTATCTGACTACTATCTTTATCATACTGTTTTACAACATGTAGTAAGGATTATATTATTTAAAAATATTTATGTGTATAGAAATATTTATGTATTGATTATGTATTGCCAATGATCCTCATCTATATTGATCAGAACATAAAATACGTACATATGGAATTTTAACTGCTTGTGCAGTTAGATTGAAACTGTGTCTTCCTACCCACATTTAGCTTCATTTTATACAAATATAAATAAATAGCAAAAGTATATATTTGTTTTAGATCCAAATAAGGAACTCTATGCATTTTATCATATTACAAGTATAAACTTTTCTCTTTTGATAAAATGCTCGACCTTTGCTCTTTTGCATCTGTGAAAATAATTCTGTCAATTTTAACCTATGTACACTTGGACCAAGTTATATTGATGTGATTGAATCTTTATCCAATGCACAAATTGTCTGCAGGGACAAAAGTGGCTTTTGATTTCCTTTTCTTTGGCATCCCTCAGCTGCATGCATTCAAAAAGAAAAATGTGACTTCATGCATGATTACACTCACTTACATACACAGATTTCTTTTCTTTTTTTTTTTTTCTATATTAACCACATGTTAAACAAGCATTTACTTCCTTGCCTTCTGGAAATATAAAAATAAAATAAGTAGAATACAAATGAATTTATTCAAGTTCAAATTCTTCAAAAATAATATTAAAATGATGAGATTATGAATAGGCTAACAGAATATCCTGGTTTTTGCTGTATTGTGTAACATGTTGAACCCAAGTCAATTATATAAGCATGACAAAAAATGGATTGATAAGAGAGAGAAGCAAAAGTCACTCTGGAATTGGTTGGGTGATGAAAATGTCTTGCTTAATTTTTTTTCCACTAAATGTCTATTGACAACAAAAGATGTCAAACATAATGAACACAAGCCTACACATTCATTGTATTGTGAACTCACAAAAAGAAAAAACTTAAGAAGCAGAAATCAATATTTTTAAATAAAAAGTAGTTAACTGGTGAAAATAGCTACAATAGTTTTTGAATACGAAGCAAAAGGAAAGAATGTATATTTTTTTTCTTTGGAATAATTGTTAATTTTTTTCAGCTGCTAGATTCTGCATTTTGTACTTAAATCTCCTGTATTAAATCTCTTGAGATAATGTTACTCACCTGACATTTAATAGCTGTTAAATTCATTTCATACCAGCTAAATTTAAGGATAGAGTTATGATAATCCAATCAGAATTTGGGTCAGGATATAACATTTTCAGTAGTAAATATATGTAAAAGAAATCTTTTTGCCAAATTGTAGAGTATTGTACTGATCAATGTTGAAGTCTCTAATTTAATTAGAAATACTGAACAACAAAATGTAAGTAAAAGTAGACAAAAGAAAAAAGATTTTCCTTACTTTAGATAAGTTAATCTTTGGAAAAACGTTAGTGATGCGCATGCAAATAAGTTCTTCTAAGAGAACAGGAAAATAGAACATCATTGTTAAATATATAAAAAAGTGAGTCCTCGAAGAATTTAGAAAAAAATAAATACATCTTTTTGTAAAAAGTTTTCCAGGGCTTGAATTGTCTTCCAATCAAAAAAGGGCTGTTAGTGACTGTTGTTATTTGTATAGGTATTCCCTATATCTACAGATGTCTATCATTAATCTTTTTCAAATTGCCTAATAATATCAGTTAGAAGATAAAACTAGAAGGAGAAAAAGTTGCAAGAGTAAAACTTGTAATTTCTTCTGTAAATTCCCTGCATCTCTCTATAAATATCTTATCTATTCCTTTATTAACTGACAAATGGTAAAATGTTAAAGTTGAGATTAACTCATTAAGTTGATATAATGATCTGTTAATACATTTAAGTTAGATTCTCTTAGATGTTGTTTTTTTTTTTTTTTTTTCTCTTAGTAATAAAAAAAAAAAAAACAAAAAAAAACAAAAAAACAACATCTATTCTATACCTGAAGATGTCTGTAGGAACAGACGAAAGCTTGTAGTAAAAATAACAACTAATACGGCAGAAATTTATATAAACAAGGATCAATTCATTCATAACGGATCTGGAGGTTTTTGTATACTATTTGAATTGTTTGCGATGATGGATGTCTCGCCATTTAAATCATTAACCTTTGCATTAGTTTTGTGTGAATAATTCATGTATTTGTAAATTGATTGCACGTTTATTGTAATATATATATATATATATATATTGATGTGTTTATCTGGTAAACAAATTCATATGAGAAACAAAGTTAAATGTATTAGCCAATCATTATATCAAACTTATGCAAAGCTGTACTGTTCACTTGCTCATTAAATTAATTGCTAATTGTAGATCACATATTTAATGGAAGTTTTTCTGGCATGGTATACTGACTGTTGAGCAAATATTGTATGCTCTCAAAGGGTGGGGGCATACTTACAGGCAAATTCAGAAAGAAGAAAAATGTAAAATGCCCCCCCCCCCAAAAAAAAACAAAATGATTCTTACCCTACACCAATACTAGTAGGTTAGATCATTATTCTTGGCTAGTGAAACTTCCCTCCTCCCTTCTGCCTCACAGTTGGTCAAAATCTCACCCATAGAATTCTTCTGCTGTATGCTTTCGACAATGTTTTTCTGTTTAGCTTTTTTATTGTTTGAACCGTTTCATGTCATTTTTATTTAACTTTTCTTTAAATTTCTGGGGTTTTTTCCCTTAAATTTCTGTATTACAGTGGTATCTATCCACTTTTCCAAAAAGAAAAGTGGATCCTGCGACTTAAAGAAAGTTAAAACTTTAAAACTCTATAGCTGTTTCACACTCCCTTCTGAAAACCTCCCTCTGATCTATAATGCTTCTTATTTTTTTCTTGAATAGAAAACTTGGCCTTTGCAGGCTTCTCAAGTCTGTGGATAATGTCAAGTGTATGCCCAGTTTTCAAGAAAGTGGGAATGTAATCTCCCCCCCCTCTCAGTACAGACCCATCAGTCTCCTTAGTATCGTCAGTAAGGTTTTTGAGGCCACTGCTGATGTCCTAACTACCATTACTCAAATAATCATTGAGGCTCTTGATGACATTCACCTTGAGGACCATAGCACTAGATATCTCAAAGGCCTTTGACAAGGTTGTCACAAAGGCTTACTATTTAAGCTCTCTAGTTATGGAATCACTGGAAGGGTTTTATTGATCATAAAATCCTTCCTAACAGGTAGGTCTATGAAGGTAGTTATCAAGGGTCAGACCTCTAGAGTCCTAGAGGTCAATTCGGGCATTCTCAAGGGATCACTCCTCAAACTAACCCTCTTTTTGATCTTCATAAATGATCTGCCTCAGAAGATACTCAGATCATTTGAAAAATTCTTAATAATCAGATATTGGGGACTGACTCTACGCCATTCTTGCGCAAACTACTAAGAAAACGGGTAAAAACTAGCTGGTTACATTCAATGCCTCAAAGACCAAGCTAGTTAAATTCCATTGTCAATTTGACTCCAAACTACCACCAATCAGGATGAATCGAGGTCCTCTCAGGGAAGCACTGTGCCTTGAAAGATTGTTGGCCTCTATCTCATACCAGACCTCAAGTGGGACTTATAATGATCCATTTCTAAGGATGCATGTAAAATGTTCAGTTCTCTGTACTGCTCCAGTAAGTACCTTCACAACAAGAACATGTCATGCCACTTACACATTTCCTCTGTATTCCATCAGTGAGAAGTTGAACAGTTTTTCCCACAAATCACTGCCCTGTAGAACTGACTCCCAACAGGATGTTTCCTTAATCACTATGACCTTAACCTGTTCAAGGCCAGAGTTAACTCTTATACACAGGAATGATCCTCAAATGTAATCCTCTATCTCAAGTGGCTCCCAGGCCTTGTAAAGAGTGAACATAGCTGTAAAAAAAAAATAACTTTGTTTTTTCCTAACTTTACAATCATTTGTCAATTAATAAAGGAACATACTACATAGATCTCAACATAGCAAAGAAAGTAATTATAATAAACTTGTCTTGTTTTTTTTTTATTTTGGTTTTTCAGGTTGAAGTTCCTTTCAAAGTTGAGCATCCCATGCAAAGTACATTTACCAGATTAGATGTAGCATTTGATGTTCCAGTAAAAACTGGATTGATTCCTCCTCTGAGCTCTGTTGAATTGCCAGTAAGTAATTGTCAGCATTGAACTCCATTTTTCTTATACTTTTGCAAATATTTCTCTTTTTATACAAGAAACGGTTGAATACTTAAATTAAGAAATATATGTTTAAAGTTCGGAGCTGAGCTGTTGTCATTGTTTAAATATTTCGCCTAACATCTTCATCTTTATTGTTTCCCTTATGTTTGGGTCAGTGGGTTCTCTCACCTTCCTCAAATATAACATATTTGGTTAAATTCAAATGTATTTCTCTTGTTGCTGATGATTCTTTTTCACTTGCCTCATGAGAAGATGGCAAATGAAAGAAAAAGAAAGTAATTTTACTGACTATAAGTAGTTATGAAAACATCAAAATTAGGAATACTTTATCTGAATAATTAGAGTAATGATTTATCTTGGAGATGGAATTGAATTAATTATACTTGATTTTCTTTTAGAAATTATCCTGGATGACCATGAATTGAGTTCTGAGAATCAAAATTTTAATAATAATCTTTCACAACAGACTGTAGATTATAAACTAGTAGTAAAATCTTCACAAACTATGCAAAGCCATTATGATACCAACCCTACCATATAGTACTGAATGCTGGGTTGTGTATGAGTGAGTGCAAAAAAAGTTCTTGGCATTACATACTTCCTAAAATTTGACTAAAGTTCAGATTTGATACTGGTGTCACTGATATCTCCATATCATTGTAAAAGGGGCCATGGACTGATTTTGTAATGAATATTGAAGTTCCAGCTGATATAATGATGATCATCATCATATATTGCTACTGGTGTCATAAATTTTGAGGCTTTGCAGTGAAAGAATAAAATGCAGTGTGTTGGAAACCGGGCAAGAATGGAAGGTTATCATGTTGTGAAGTCCTTCATATAATTGAGAACATCTCTGGCTAACCAAGAAGTGGCGTCAAAGAGATATAAAAACACATAGCAAAAGATGTCCTGATCTCTCCTTCAATCATAATCAGTTGGGAAATAAGGTGATGTAGAAGAATAGAATTTATTGAGCATCCACCCTTACTCTTAGAGGAGGAGGAGGATCTTTGAGCCAACTGGTGTCAGCATTACAGGTACAGGATCTGTGAGGCAGCTGGTCTCACCAAATCAAGCTGAAGGAAAAGAGCAGAAGAAAGAGCATCTCTTGTAAACACTTTGTCAAGCCTCCTGATAATCAGTGACTGACATGCAAAACACTCTCAGATATGCCATGACTTGAAAAGTTAAATAAATTAAAATGTATAATAATTAAATTTAAAATAAAATATAGAGAAAAAATTGGAAACTGCGAAACCAGAATTAATTCTTGAAGTGGGTGATGGCGTTTTATTTTGCCTGAGACAAAATGATTCTACTTGTCTCTTATTTTGTCTTTTATTCATTAGGGACTTAAATTTTCTGCTTTGTAGCTTTTGGATTGAAAGAAAACTGAGACTCTTGAGCAAATCATAGAAACTAAATGTTCATTTTGAAGTCAACTTGATGCAAACCTCTTCACATTTCATCTTCTGAAAGTAGCCTTTTTAAATTTTTAACTTGTCTAAGCAAATTATTCTTAAAACTCGATGTTACTTTTTTTCAAGCACTTTAAAACAAAAAATGAAAATTTTAAAATGTCTAAGGTAATCATGATATGAAAATAAATTTGTACAAAATTTAAAAATGTGCAGAGATACCCAAAGTACTAAAAATTGAAAATCGCGCAAAAATGCAAACCATTGATATCATTTTGTTTGTTAAATAAAAAATGATATTTTAACTGAAATTGTAGAAGAATGTAATTTCGAAAAATAGAATAAACATAACTTTGCACAATTTTTCTCAATGTTTGAAAGTTTTATTTAAATATTCATTATTATAACCATTCTCATAAGAATTTTTAGAATGTAGTTTTAATTCAATTAGATTAAAGACATAGGTGTATGCATTGTCATCTAAGCCAGCATGAACATTGGTATCAAAATTGTCATCAGAATCATTAATTCCTATTTAACTCAAGCAGCATTGAATCCAATTGTTTGTATCTGTATCTTTCCTTGCATACTTCAGTCATCCTCTAAAACAGATGATTGAAGAACTGAGTAACCAACACATTATTATAAAGCCACCAGGGATGAGGATATTAGTTTGAAGAACTTTATTAATAACCCATTTCAGAATATCAGACATTATTTATCACTTATTTTCTGATCTATGAAGTTGGAAATAACTTGAGAATTATTTGTATGAATCATACATTGTACTTGTTGAACCTGTTTCTCTTGGTTTCAAAAAGTTTCATGGTGGTTAGCATAAGAAAATTCTTCTGTTTAATTTTTTTAGTGTAATATTTGGTGAACACAAATCCACAATAAGCAATGAAATATTAATCCTATTAAACTCTTGAGTCAAGCATCAGGTCAGTTACATGTCAAATTCTCCTATTGTGACATTGCACTTTGGACAACACTAATTTCTTTCGCTTGTCTAAACTATTTTTCTTACCAGATGAATGCTTTTCTTATTTTGTAATATCATTGGGAAACAGAAAAAAAAAACAAAATTAATTTTTTGCACAGAGAAGATATCCTTTGAAAAGTTGGATTAAAAACCATTTTCTGTTTAGCTGATAAGTTTCTGTTACCTTTTGGCAATATCTTATCATCCTTCACTTTTTATATGAATGCATAGATAACTTCTTTTGTATATCGAGCTTGGCTTAATAGGTGAAGTGGTTCCATGTCTCATCAACAAGTACAGTATCTTGGATCACGTTGCCTGGTAAAAGTCAACTGCATATTGAGGTTTTGAGATCTGAGTTTCAGTGCTTGCTTATATGTTGTATTTTTGCTTCTCTTTAGGTGAAAGCTTGCTTTGTTGAGTAGGTCGCAAACTTTGATTTCTGGTGTTTGTTACTTGATCCTTTTCATAGGATGAAGAATAATTTTCAGATAGAATTGTTAAAAGTAATTATAGTTTTTCAGTTTTATCCCTGATGTTGACTGCAAGGCTTAATCTGCATGACTCATTTAGAAAAAGGAAACTATTTACTTTGTACAGTCAGAAGCATTTTAACTTGACACAACACTCATCATATATCAATTGTAAATTGTTGAATGTATCTAAATCTCATCTAATGAAAAGGTTTAAAAAGGAAATGCATGTGGTTCAGTTCAAAAGGATTGAAGAACCATCTCTGATTGAATGTTGTTGTTTGATTAATGAACGTGTTTCAGGAAAAGCAATCTGATTCTGTTCGAAGAAATACTTTTGTTCATGGGAAAATTGGACAATAACTTTCTTTTTCTTGATTTCTTTTGATTTTCTCTGCACTCTGATCTAAGAATGTATTTCTGTATTTGTTTTAGACAGATTAACATGTGAAAATAAGACAAAACAGTGATAACTCTTTTAAAATGGATGTGCATGCACATAAAGAGAGAAAATAGATATTTAGTAAGCTTAACTTAGTCTGACAAAAGGAGAATAATAGGGAAGAGAAAAGCAATGCTGCACCAATCTTCTAAGTGGGGAAAGCTTGTCTACTAGAAATAAACAAATCACCACTTAAAATCTTGACATTCACTTGAGTTTGAACCACTGCAGTCTGTAGAAAATATATGCTGCCTATCTGTATGCACACACACACACACACAGTGGATACTCTGAAAGTAATGCCTCTTATTTAAATCTGATCGCAATAGATTAAATGATAGTTTTTGTATAGCTTTTTGTCTTAAATATATTTTTGGTGACAGAATGATTCAGCTTCATAATTTAATCCTTCTAAAGATGAACATGTCTATAAGATATGCAATATTGTATGAATTGGAAAAAAACAATACTACATATGACATTGAATTTGTCTCCTCATGGAAAGGGTGCTGTTTTTGTCTAATTAAAAAAATTGGTAAAATTTAGGAAAACTTACTATTGCAGAATGGATATGTTTTTCTTAACAGCTATTTCATTATATGCATCTGATAAGCTTTAAACAACCAGTGTTTCAAATTGCCGTTTTCATTGTAATTGAAAATAAGCTATTTTTAACAAAACTTTTGGTTTAACAGTTTCTCAAAAATTGAATAAGTGAGGACTAATTTGAAAACATAAGTCTGTTTAGCATCTCAATTTCACTTTTCCCTACTTTCTTTTGACTGCTTTGCTTATAACAAGGAAAGTCTTTAGTATTCTTTTCTGTGTTATTGCATAAAGATACTTCAAATCAAATGAAGTGCAGTGGTAATTTTACTTGAATGAATTCTGTAATTACATGGTTTATAGTTAAAAATGAAACTTCCAATGTAGATGCTATTTGATACTTACTAATACCAACTGAAACTGACCAACAATGCACTGCCTTTCAAAATTTGATAATTTATATAATTTCTGGATTATGAAGTTTTGTTAAGTGATCGTGCCAACATGAACTGAATGATTGTAAAAATGTCAACTTTGATTAAATTAAGTTTCTATAATATCTTCATAAATAGTTGCATTCACATATCTGAAATCATTGCTCATAGTAATAGGAATGCTGCTTCTAGGACAAAAATTATACTTATTTTCAAATTACAAAATTAACAGTAGTATGTAAGAGCACTATTTTAAATATTTTTCTATATTTGTCATTTTTAAAGCTTATTAAATAATGTTGATATTTCTGTTATAGTTTACAAATACCTTCAGCTAGAGGCTATCATCATTGCAAATTATTTTTTATTATTGTATAATTTCTTAAGATATTTACTGTTCTAATATTAAATGAAAAGTGATTAGGCTATGCACTAATTGTACAGAGGACATTTTTTCTTATCAGATTGTAAAATGAGTTGTCCTGAACCCTTTCAGATCTTTTTGTACTAATGCAGGTGTCCCCTGGGGCTCTATCCTTAGACCTACACTATTCCTAAGTTTCATCAATGACTTTCCTGATATTAGTTATCAACTTGATATCTATGATGATGACACAACCATTTACTTCTGTCTCGATAATAAGTTTGATAAGGTCAGATTGCCAG